GAATGATTTATATGCATTTATTGTTTCCGCAATTAAGGGCCCGTAATTGTGTGAGTTTGGGTGATTTATTCTTGCATTCGAGAGAATTGGAATAGATTCGACATAATATAAATCATCGTAGGGTCCGATAGGGGATAGAAATATACCGCTATGCCCTACGTGAATCTTTAAGTGTTCATAAAACTACATGCATTTTTACATATGCACTTGTCATAGAAATATAGGCCGGTGGTATGTAGAAATAGATTTGATACATCTCGAGAGAGAGTATCGGATAGACTTAGGAACATTGATTCGTCAACAATTGAATTATGTTGTCATGTTGTGAAACTAGAGTTTAAAGTGATAATTGCATGGAAAATCGTGATCTTAGTGTGTTTAATTTCTATTGATTACAACAAACGTGCGTTCTCAACAATTGATTTCATTTTAGAGTTTTAAATTATTGTTTTGCTTATTAATTTCATTACAATCATAAAAGTTGCATAAGTGGGGTTTTCTTTCCAATTTTAGAGTTTTAATTAGGTCCACATTCATTTTGAGTAATTTCGTTTCGGTTAAGGTCGAAGAAGTAAAATTGAACTAACCAATCTCTGTGGGACGATACTCGAACTCATTGAATCCACTTTATTACTTGTTAACGAACCGTACACTTGCGGTAATTTAAATCGAAAGAAAATATTTCGCGAACATAGACCTCCATGGTTTTGCCAATGAGTTCGGCAAACATCATGTTGACTAACCTCTGGTATGTGACCCCGACATTTTTCAATCCGAAGGGCATAACTTTGTAGCAATACAGGCCCCTGTCCGTAATGAATGATGTAGCTTCCTCATCAGGTCGGAACATGGGTATCTGGTTGTACCCTGAGTATGCATCCATGAAACTCAGTAGTTCATGCCCAGCAGTGGAGTCCACAAGTTGATCAATTCTCGGAAGTGGGAAGCTGTCCTTGGGACACGCCTTATTTAGGTTTGTGAAGTCCACACATACCCTCCACTTCCCGCTGGACTTTTTCACCAGAACCGAGTTGGATATCCACCTCGGATATATGGCCTCTCTGATGAAACCACTATGGCTGAGTTTACTTATTTCGTCTTTCAGTGCCTCGTACCGTTCCGGGTTCAGGACGCGCCTCTTCTGTCTATGGGAGGCATAGGAGGGGTTGATGTTAAGGTGATGGCAACTGATCCTAGGATCTATTCCCACCATATCTTCATGTTTCCATGCGAAGACATCCAGGTTTCCTTTCAGGAATCGTATCATCTCAGTTTTTGCTTTAGGTGATAATGACTTTCCTATGCGCAAGACTTGATTAGGGTCTTCCGAGTTGACGAGAAAAGTTTCCAGTTCTTCCATGGGGGTCGCATTTGGTTCATAATCGAGTATTCGGGGGTCTAACTCATCAAGAGGGTGTCCTTGTTCAGGGGCCTCTTCCATGTCGACGTCTCCCTCTTGATCAGAGGTATGCCCTTGTTCAGGGGCGTCGAGCATTTCCACGTCCGTATCGACTTCAGCGGGTACCTCGGCTAGGATTACATTAACAGTTCGGGGCTCGAATTTGCGCAGCGAGTTTAGGTAGCATGCCCTGGAGCCCATCTGATCGCCCCGGACTGTTGCAATCCCATGTTCGGTTAGGAATTTCATGCACAAATAGTGAATGGACGTCACAGCCCAAAGATCTTTCAGAGCTGGTCTGCCCAATACTCCATGATAAGCCGATCTATGATCTACCACCAAAAATTTCATGAAATGCTGGGCGACTAGGGGTGTCGAACCCATTTCCACAGGCAGGGTGATCCGCCCTCGTGGGATGATGTTGTCCCCAATGAATCCGAACAGTGGGTCGATCATGGGGATCAACCCATGTTCAATTTGCATTTTGTCAAAAGTGGAGCCGAACAATATGTTCACGGAACTGCCATTGTCAACGAGCATGCGTTTCAATCCGTTTATAGCTACTACGGCTCTTACAACCAAAGCATCGCAATGGGGGTGGTGAACTCCATCTGAGTCTTCCTGGGAGAAGGTGTTGGGGTCATCTTATTTGTTGATTTCGATTTGTCAACTTTGTAAGTGATCATCGGGGGATCTTTAGCTTCTCTTGTATAATTTCTCTGGGCATTCCTGGTGTTGCCACCGACGTGGGGTCCCCCAATGATGGTATCGATTTCTCTGATGACCTGGCTTCCCGAAAATTGGGCTTGGTTCCCCGGCCTAGATTGGCCTCGGTTCCTCGATTCTCTTCTACGAGGAGATTGTTCCTGGTGACCTCTCCCTCCCCTCTTCGGGGAGGTGGATCTGCGAGGGTGTTCGTTTCTGCTGGAAGTGTGAGGGTTGCTTTGATCAGGGCACCGATTGGTATCACGACACTCGCTGGTGTCATGTCCGTATAGTTGATGGAATATACAAAATCTTGCTCCTGCCAAGGGTCTGTTTGGCCTCTTTTTCTTCTTCTTATTGTTATCAGTTCTTCCAGATGGTCCCGCCTCAGCAGGGGCATTATCATATGCCAACACCGGCACTGCATTCAATGTGGCGGAAGCTAGGGCCTGTCCGGATGTGGGAGCTATGATATGTCCTGCTTGGGTCCATTGCTGAATAACAAGGTATGCTTCGGGGCCTCGACCTACCTGCCTCTGTGGAGGAGGGAGTCCCTGCGCGGCACGGTTGCGATGATCAATCATTTCTTCACTAACAATTTCCACTCTCATCATTTCCACCAGCTCGTCGTATGTGGAGGGATTCTTACTGCGCACGTCCCTCCAAAACAAAGTGTTCATGTTGAGCCCACCTTTCAGGGCTGAAAGGGCTTCCCTGTCAGTGACCTGTTCGCAGTAAGTAATTTCGCTTGTAAACCTGGCGAGATAGCTTTTTAGTGTCTCTCTAGGGGCCTGCCTCATGTCTTGCAGGCGTTGAATTGGCGCCTCTCATTCACTGCGTGAGAGGTACCGGTTCAAAAATGCTTTCTTCAAGTCTGGCCAACTTCTGATGCTTAGGGGAGGAAGCCTGTTGTACCATACCTCGGCGGCTCCGCCTAGTGTTAAATGGAAGGCTCTCCATTTTAGAGTAGGCGAGGCTCCCCTAAGGCTCATTTGTGTCATATACTTTGTGAGGTACTTCTCCGGATCCCCCTTTCCCTCATACTTGGGGATCTTAGGGGGGCATGAAGTTAGCTGGCATTGGGAAGCTTCGAATCTCCCTTGAGAAAGGGAGGTTATCGTCATCGTCGTCAATCTCATAAGATCGGCAGGGCCCCTCTGACCCTTCATCATCTTGGATGTCCTGGGGTGGTGGAGGTGCTTCTCCTCGACTCCCCCAATCGACTAGGTTTCTCCTCTCCCTCCTATTTCTAGGAGGAGGAGGGGGAACATGCTCTTGTTCGCGATCCGGACGAACTGATCCTCTTGCTGGGCGGACCCTATTGCTAGGATCCTCCCCTATCCGATCGAAGACGCTTACCGACCTTTGGTCGTCGTGTTCTTGAGGAAAGTTGTCCCCCAAGGGTGGTTCTGATGGATGACTCCCTTGCACATAAGATGTTGCTTCGGCGTTCATCTCTCTTTCGAGGGGGCATTCTGTGTGCCGGCTCATGTGGCCCAGAGAGTGAGATAAAGGGATTTCCTGCACCGGATAAGATCCTTGGGGCCTTTGATAGCTCTGGTGTCCCTGGGCTTGCATGAGGAGTTCCCGCATCGCCATATTTTGAGCTGCTATGTCTCTCATACCCGCAGCAATTTAAGTCATTCCTTCAGTGAGTATGGCTATTCTCCCGCTTCGGTGACACCGGTGATGCGGTCTCTGATGAGTAACATTGTTATGGAGTACCTCTTCTTCAGAGGCCTCTCTCATGAAATTGTCATCTTCATGGCTGTAGCTCATCCTACCTCTTTTTTCAAGGGTAGTAAGAACTTGGATTGTAACTCGACTTTGTTCTTTTTCAAGAATGCCCCCTTTTTCAGGGTTAGTCGCCGATTTTCTGGTATCTTCTTCGATGGAGAACGCAAAACTTCAAATGGAGAGTGTTTCTCACAGACAGCGCCAATCTGTTGAACTCGAAAATTGATCCCTCCACGTGGCCAACTGAAAGCTACTCCACGTATTCCTCCCTGCGCAATCAACAAATAGTGAGGCGCACACGGCCGGAACCAACGGGGGTGGTGGCGGCCGTATACACTCCGACGGTCAAGTCAGATTTGGATGGTCGGAACAGTATCCAGGGGCTATCCAAATCAATCAATAAAGGGAGAGGAGAATATATAAACTTGTTATGGAGTGCTGTGTATTAAGAGTTTCATTACCTTTGCCTCTTGCCAAACCTTGGGTATTTATAGGTGGTATAAACCGTTGGATGTGGAACGCGTGTATACATCTGACGGTATGAAGCGTCTGCTCATAGGCGTTAATCAGCCGCGTTTATAGAGTGGACGGACAGTTTGTCTCCTCTGAGTTGAATTGACATAAAGTTGATAAGTTACATCAACTAGCCTCATGGAGACGTCAAATCAATTTAAGCCTTAGGTGTAAGACAAATCTCAAATTGGCGGCGGATCTTCTAACCAGGGTCCACTTGATCTCGACTTCGGAGGTGAGATGCTTCGGCAGATCAGTAGTAGGAATTGCTATATCACTTCGGAGAAGTTTCGGAAGGGTCGTTTTCAGGTCGGAATAAATGGTGCTGCGGAGGGTCCACTTGATCTCGGCCTCGGAGGTGAGATGACACTTCGGTATCGAGGCGTAAATAATCGAGGTGTAACAGCCAACATCCATTCATCAAATAGAGATATGACAGATATTTGCATATCGTTCATCCAACTTGATGGAAACCAAAAATTTCTTCCCGTCTCGTTCTGTGTGAGTCATGATGCTTGCATGCAAATGCATGTGAGAGAGAATTACATTATGGTGGTATAGAAGACATAAATAGATTGTTTAGTTTTGTGTTTCTTCATCTCCCTCTCTCTATTTCTCAGCTTTTCATTCATAATGCCTATTACAGTTGAAGCAAAAGATATCTATGGCTACTTCAGCCCTAAAATCTGTCTTCGGTCAGCAAGAAAACCAACAAAATGCTGTAAGTTTCTTTTCCTTAATACCGGCAACATTTTACCTAAATAAATTGAATTCTGACATTATTTTCTTTTATTTTGTAGGCTGACAAATTAGAGAAACTAAGGGAGAGGATGATAAAAGTGAGGGAGCTTTTTCGTGACACAAACTCAACAGAATTCGTCATTGTAACAATCCCCACGGTAATGGCCGTGTATAGATTCTCATTTTGTCTAGCAGTTATCATGCACCATGTAGTAAGGATGAAGCTAGAGGTGAACCCCTACCGAGCACTCACATCATGGGGTGCGGGGGTGGGGTTTTGGCCAATTTTTTATAGAAGTATGGGACCCACTTGCTGTGAGGGTCGGACAGAACCCCTACCTGGCAGAACAACAAAATCCATTGTAGTAATTAACTGTGGCTATTTTATGATTCAGGTTAAGCAATAGCATTAGAGATTTGTTACAGGAAAGGGGGGGCTGACTGCCCCTGACCGAACCCCTCAAATAGGGGGGAGGTCCCTTTTTTTTTTGGCGGGCCCCACCCCCATTTGTGGGGCCTTCTGTTAGGGAGGCGGTCAGCCTCCCTGTTACAGAACCTTTATTCATCGCATTATATCTTTTTGCACGAAAAATCCACCATATTGTTGTTTTCACACCTCATTCAGTCTTTGTCCATGTGAGGAATATTTGAAAATGTTTTTCTTCTGTTGGTAAATGATTACTGCAGATTTATTTGCAATTTAGAGCTGAAATAAAAATTTAGTCAGATTGGTTCGAAGTCAGTGTTACTTGAGTTTTATGGACGAACCGTATAAAATTAGACGATATTTACTCTTAAATCTTGTTGTTCAGGCGATGGCCATAAGTGAATCATCAAGATTATGTTCTTCTCTGAAAAAGGAAGGTGTCCCTGTCAAGAGACTTGTAGTCAACCAAATTCTTCCTCCATCCACCTCTGATTGCAAGTTCTGTGCAATGAAGGGGAAGGTAAAATAATCCCCCATCTTAATTTTGTATTTAGAGCATGATTGTTCAAGCTGGTGTTACATTAAGTTTTCTTACTTATAAAAAAAATAAAATAATAAGTTAGTTATTTTGACACTAATAACAATAACTTGTGTCGAACTTTGGTCAATAAAAGAATATTTAATTTAGACTTACTCACATATTAGTAAACTTTTTATGCTTACAGTCATTGTAAGTATTTAAATTGCGTGAAAAGCTCCAAATGGTAAATCCCACGAATAGATTTAGTATGACGTACTTTCATGAAGATCATGCAAATTAGTCTCACACTTATGGATGTAGCTTTGATTTTAATTATAGAAGAAAGTCGGAAACTATGTTGATATGTACATGTTTGGCTAAGCTTAAAAGTAACTTGGGTTACTTCTTTCTTACAAGGAAAAGAAGTTTCTTATTTTGACAACAATACAAGGGTTACTTTCTAATTACTCTCAAAATAAGTAACTTATTTTCAGTTTTGACTAATAAAAGAAGTTATTTGTTCTGAAACTAATTTACTTTTGAGTAACATAATTATAAGTATATTTTATAAGCTTAGCCAAACATGCAGATTATCTATTTCAAAGTATCTGCGTCCTTTTTCCCTAGACTCCGAGAGTGTGAGCAAAACTCAGATATCTACTAATACTTTTTAAATCATAGGGAGGATAATTTTAGTTTTAATTTTGCTTCTGTGGAAAGAAGACATGATTCTTGATAAAGAACTCTTGAAGTGTACTTTTCCGTATGATTTTTCAAATATTCTATTTTGAGCAAAACTAACTTAAGGATTGAGGTAGGGGACATAATGATTGATATAGGGGATAACTGAACATACACATCTCGGAGGGTCAGACATTATTTAATTCACGTGGGACCCGCGCACTTTGTGAGGGTCACTGACTTCGAGTGTCAAACATTTTTAGGCAAAGTGGCATTTTATATGCACGAGTATGACGTATGCAAACAACAAAGCTAACACCTACTTGGACTTCTCGTATTTATTCTTATCATAATTGTATTGACTGCCTGCATTTTACAGGATCAAGCGCGTTCTATTAGCATGATCGAGAGTGATCCCGAGCTCTCCAGCTTGACGATGATCTACGCACCTCTTGTTGATGTAGAAATCAGAGGCGTTCCTGCTCTTCAGTTTTTAGGGGACATCGTTTGGAAGTGAAAACTGGCACGTATCCAAACATATTTCAAAACAAAAATTAAAAGTTGGACTTAGTTTTAAGCTTTGCCTAACGTGCTCTAAACCAAGAAGAAAAAATTTCTTACCGGCCTTTTTCTAACCTCATCTATATTTGTTCTGCTGCTAATACGATAGATTGAACACAAGTATCCCTGTAATTTGTAAAGCTGAAATGGAAGATCAATCTGATAATGACTCACTGTAATTCTCACCAGTAGAGAGTCTGAATCATCAGATGCCTTGCAATTACTGAAGCTGCAGTCTTTTCTTTCTGATGCATTTTCTTTTGTTTTCTGAGGTAGATTTGCAGAATTTGCATTCTTTCGTTCGACTAAAAAAAAAAAAAAAAGGTTTTGCGCGCAGTTGTGGACATTGCACAGCCCAAGACTGCATTTATCGAGCAAGTTTTGAAATCTTCTCATGTTAACAGGCTAAAAACGTTCATGGGTGTCCTTAAGCTCAACCTCATGTTGTTGTCTTTACTGAGATTACGAAAACATATGGACTGAGCAGCAGTTTTTGAAACTAATATATCCCGGGAAAGATGAAATATTATTCAACTCTGTTGCGTAAAGGAAACCATATATACACAGGGAAATGGGGGGAAAGTAAGAAAAACAGAGTATGATCATGCACTTGAATTCTGAAGACGATGATCTTTTCGTTTTTTTAATTTATTCGTTAATTGAAGTTTCATGTGTAGTCAAATTTTATGCTGCACCTTTCGTTTTACTTCTAACAAGCAGCTTGAGAACGTCAATGTGCTTATTTACAGGTTTAAAGATTGATAATCTTTCATATATTTTATCGTTTTGTCGTTTTTATTGTACGAAGTTGAAAGGATTTGTACTTGCTAATCCGCCATGCAACAATAAATTCATTCGAATTTTAGTAAGAGACTTGTGTAAGAAATTTTAATCTATTGATGGGTTTATATGTGTTAAATTAAACGCTATCAAATTCAGTTAAATCCAATTAAAGTGATCTAATAAGCCTTCAATTTTGGGCTTTAATGTATCCAATTAAAGTATGGATTTACATGTGTAGAAATCGGGTCCAAGTCCTAATTCTATGATGGGCCGAATTAGGTCAAAGGACGTCGCTATATAAATATGTTATGATCCTGACGTCGGGTAGGATAGTGATTATCCTATTGGCTTGTTGTAGCAGATGATTCGCAAGAAAAGAACAACAGAAAACGCCCAAAAAATCAGAAAAAATACTCTGAATTCAACTCAATATTATTAATAACGTAAAATGATGAAAACTAACCCACAAACCGGGTTAAATAGTTGCGAAATACGAAATTATGGGAAAATTACCAAAAATGGCAAAATCCCAAAAATTATACCAAAATAAAATATTAAGTAAAAGAAGTAAGTTGCCAAAAATTTGGCTCAATTCGAGTTTTCTAAGATATGGAAAAAAGGAAACGAAATATTACCATAAATAGTAAAAAATAACTTAAAATTGAATTTTGGAAAGGAAAACGGTGGATTTTGGGCTCGAAATTGACGTCCACCAAGCATAGCTGGTGGCCACGACGTGCGCGCCGAAGAGAGCTTTTCGAATTGGAGTCATAATAGCGATTCCGATAACCGTAGCCAAAGTTATGGCCAAATTACCAAAGACGCGTCAAATTCCCCAAATTTTGGAAATAATGGTGATTCACTTTCCATCTTTGCGCCGATCCGTCATCTCATGGTATCTTAGCGTCATCATCGTGCTATCTGACAAATTAGCATCACTTGACTCGGATCCTCCTGCATCAGATCCTCAGATCACACGTACGTATTATTCATTCTCTTCTACATCTCATTACAGAGAGGAAAATGAGACTGCGTATAGATTTGGAAGACTATACCACGAAATTCATTATTGCATTAATCATGTCTGATTCAAGTACGCTTTCGCTTTAATTCTTATATTTATTGATGATTTAACATGAAATATCCGATAATTTAAAGCATTAAATTATCCTACAACTTGTCCAGACATTAAACCAGAGAAAGTCATGCTACGAGTCAAAGATTAAAGTAATCAACTTCGAGTCTTCGACTGGAGTAAAAACAAAAGGTGATACAATGGAACAGTAATTGATATTTGCATAGTCTCCAAATAAAGATATGGTCTTGAAATAATTAAAAAGTAGTAAGAATCGTTAAAGATAATTATTCAGATTATATGTTTCTGCATCTTGAAACTTACTTTTAGCTAACCTTTTAAGGAAGAGCTATCCCATCAGTCAAAAAAAAAAAGAGCAGCAGATTCTCTACCCATGAAATTAGCTGTCCCGTAAAGTCAAAATTTTACTAGAAGAAATTATAAAAATAATGTCCATTTTGATATAGCCATATGTTAAAATGTCCCAAATTTTTCAATGTCTATTTTTACAATTATTTGGATGAAAATATCCCTAAGTAGCTTTCATGAAAAGTTACATTAAAATGATGTTCTCGACATTTCAAATGTCGTTCTTGATATTTAAATTCGTTTATATTTCGAAAGTACGTATGTCAAATTACAATATTAAATGTTTTCGACATTTCAAACGTTGTTCTAGACATATTAAATGTCTAGAATAACATTCCATTTCGAATATAACATATGCAATATGAAATTATTGACATTAATTGTGATTTGACATTTGCAATATGAAATTATTTATTCTTTGATTAAGGATAAAATAGGGAATTTTTGGTATCAAATTTGGCTGCTTTTGCAAAGATTATCAAATGAACATTTTTAAATTGATATATATAAAATTGGACATTTTTACAATAGCCATGCTACTGAGCCAGAATCAAAAACAAGGAGCTGAGGTGATGCCACCTCAGTCCTCGATTTCACATCTTTTCTTTTTTCTTTTTTCTTTTTTTTAGTTCCAAGGGCCGAGGTGGCAATTTAGCCCTTTTTTGGGCCTGTTCAAGCAGGTTAATTCTTTTTACAAATGCCCCGTTGTACTATTAGATGTCACCTCAGCCCTCGATTTCACATCTTTTCTTTTTTCTTTTTTTTAAATCCAAGGACCGAGGTGGCAATTTAGCCCCTTTTTTGGGCCTATTCAAGCAGGTTAATTCTTTTTACAAATGCCCCATTGTACCATTAGATTGCGTTATGATCCCATACTTTGAAATGTGATTATGAGAACGAGTTTGACTATGATAACACTCAGGATGACTCTCTAGATCACAGATTTGCCAAATGGCAAATCACAATTGGTTGGTGAAAAAAACAGTTTTTCGACCAACCAACACGGAATTGCCAAGTAGCAATTCAAACATGTAGAATATCATCCTGATGGTTAGAGTAACAAAACTATTATGAGGACAGAGAACCCATCTTACTTTTTTTCCCAAAATTAAATGTTTAATCTTTTTCCACACGGACAACATTTGAACGTGTTAGAAGAGGGTGAAGTACTTTCAACTTAAAAATGAGACGAAGGAGGTGATTTAAAAGTACGTGTAGCTAGATATCTAAAATCGAATTGAATTGTAAAATCCTGTATTTGGCATGAGCCGTATGACCCAACCTTTGCAGGCCGACCCTATTCAAGCCTTACTAGACCTTACATTCTTATGGGCAGGCTCTCTTGCCAGGATATATGGATGGCGACCACCAGAAAAGTAGATTGAGCTGAGTAGCATCCACTAGAAAATGTGGATTGTAAGTGATTGAGAGGAGTTGAGCCTGCTCAAAAATATTGATTGACCTCACTTCAAAAGTGGGTCGAGCTGAACCGGGCCTACTAAAGGTATAGATTGTAGGCGCTCTAAATGTTGGTCGAACCGAGCCAGGCTACATTTTTTTTTATCTTGGAGAGTAAATAGCTAGCAAGGTAAGAACGTGAACTGTGCGGAGCAAGAGACAGGCTGCAAAAGAAAATGTAGTGAGAGAACCTCTCTCCCTCTCTCTCTCTCTCTCTCTCTCACACACACACACTCTGAAAAGTCTTCTGTCATGGGGTTCTGTACCCATTGCAGCCGGTGCCAAAGTCTCTTGCTTTCTTTATCTTAAAATTAAAAAAAAGCAACTGATATTTGTTTTTTTCCTAAAATAACTATGTAATCAATGCATTATTATATAAGCAACACATTTTTTCTGAAATCTGCAACCTGAACTGTGCATTGAAGAAACAATACATTTCTTTCGTGGTTTAGTGTTGCTGTACAGAAGCAAATACAAGAAACAAGCAGGACCAGAACACTTCTACACCCCAACCCACCTCCAAGGATGCTCCCAGAAACCTGCATTTTCTTGTTTTGCTTCTTGATTTGTGTTCCTTCTTTGATTAAAGCAGCTACAAGTTTGAATCTCACTCTCCCAAGTCAACACCCCAACCCTGAAGCTGTGGCTCAAGAAGTACAGAGGTATGTGTACATATATACATACAGTACAGTATAGAGGCATTGTGCAAAATATGGCTTAATATCCCATATGGGTTGCTCATTACAGCATTTTGTCATGTTGGTTAGTGGACATTTCTCTATTTGTTTAGAAAGATGTGGGAAAAAGTTCTATTTGGGTTTTGCTTATTTCAGATCTTAAAGATTGGGTTTCTTCTTGAACAGTTCAACCAAAAAATCTGCGCCTGGGTTATGCTCATTCATGCAATTTGAAATTAGTGTGCCTTTTGTTCAGAGCATATAGTTTGAGAAGAACATTTCTCTTCATGACTTTCACTTTCCAATATGATTTTGAATCCATTGCGGTAATTTTTTCTTGGTTTGATTTTTGTAAATCATTTTTTACCTGGTATTCACTTACTTTATCAAGAAGCTACTTTGATTGTTTACATTACCCTGTTTTCTTATGGGCTTTTACACATTTCCCCAATTAATGAAGAAATGCCTTCTAGCTGTAGTCCATTATTGCATCCCAAAAGCACTATTTTTGTTTTCTTCACTATTAGCAATTTACATTAATGACATCCATATTTTTGCCCCAAAAATTGCAAATGTGCATGTTCCCATATATTTCCAACACAAACTGAATTACATCTTTGGTTTTCTCCTTTTGTTTTTGATTTTTATGATGTTTTACAGGAGTGTCAATGTATCCATATCAAGAAGGGATTTGCTATCCACCTCAATGAACGATCAGTCCCAATGTCTCACAGGTAATCCAATAGATGACTGTTGGAGGTGTGACTCCAACTGGGCCAACAACCGCCAACGCCTAGCGGACTGTGCCATTGGCTTTGGCCAGGGTGCATTGGGAGGCAAAGGCGGCCAGATATACGTAGTAAACGACTCCTCGGACCGTGACACAGTCAACCCCACCCCAGGCACCCTTCGTCATGCGGTCATCCAAGATGAACCTCTATGGATAGTTTTCCAGTCGAACATGGTTATTAAGCTCAAACACGAGCTCATTATTAACAGTTACAAGACGATTGATGGCCGTGGTGCGAATGTACAGATAACAGGCAATGGCTGCTTAACTTTGCAGTATGTTAGCAATGTGATAATTCACAATGTGCACATTTATGATTGTAGGCCCTCCGGGGACACTAACATTAGGTCAAGTCCAACACATTTTGGATATAGAAGCAAATCGGATGGTGATGGGATATCCATTTTCGGGTCGAGGAATATTTGGATTGATCATTGTGCTTTGTCCCATTGTACTGACGGCTTGGTTGATGCCATCATGGGATCCACTGCTATAACCATTTCTAATAGCTATTTTTCTTACCATGACGAAGTCATGCTCTTAGGACATGACGACAAATACTTGCCTGACTCTGGAATGCAGGTTATGAAAACTGTCTCATTACATGTTATAATCAGTCCCAGAACCAAAGATTTAACCACACGAGATTTGGTTACTCACCAATGTTAGTTCCACTCTTGAACTAAAATTTGCTTTTGTGCAGGTGACAATAGCTTTCAATTACTTTGGGGAAGGTTTGGTGCAGAGGATGCCAAGATGTAGGAGAGGTTACATTCACGTGGTGAACAACGATATTACTGAATGGAAGATGTATGCTATTGGTGGAAGTGGTAATCCAACCATTAATAGTCAGGGGAATCGCTACACAGCACCATCTGATCCAAGTGCTAAGGAGGTAATTTACATTTTAACTCAATATTTTTTATTTTCCTTTGCAAGATATTATGGTCTTAGCAGAGAAAATTATTGGTTTAGTAATTGTTGCTAGATGCAGTATAAAAAATTCATCATATTCTTATCAATAATTATATTCTTTTGTCCCCCTAACTGAAGAAAAAAATATACTATGATCTTCAAGGATGCAATTGAATGCCCTAATCCACATAATGTGGACCATGTTTGATACTTGCAAATGATGAAACCTTTAATTGTGTTTTAACACTTGTAGTTCATGGAAACTTGTGCACCAAAGCAACACTAACATTTCTCTAATCGTTATGGTTTTTGATTTTTTCCAGCCATTTCCCTGATTCTTAATTGCCATAATTTTGTCTCGTAAAATTTTTATGTTGATCATAAATTTGTTTCAACTTTTAATCAGAGGCTGTTTGGGAGTGATTTTGAGAATTGATTTTTTGACCGTCAGAAAAAAAGCAAGGTTCACCCGTGAGAGAAGAAGTCAAATATGACGGCTGAAATAGTGAAATAACGGTCAAAATATCAATTTTTTGGTGAAAAAATCGGGCCCAAACAGGCCCTCAATATAGCGCCGTGAAAGTGTGTGCATACTTAACTTTTGGAAATGTGGGTAGGCACCATTTATTACTCTATCCTAGGGGTGGGCGCGGGTCGGTTCGGTTCGGTTCTCTTTAGAACCGAACCGAACCAAACTTTTCGGGTATCTAGTAAATGGAACCGTCGGGTCCAAATATAATTATAGAACCGTTCGAGTTCGGTTCCATTCGGTTCGGTTCGGATCGGTTCGGTTCCGTTCGGTTCTGTACTATAATTAAATTTTTTAATATTTATAACAACGTTATATAAATACAACTAATGATACATTTAATAGTTTTGGAATGTCAGAGATTAGTAAACTACATTGTTCAAATGATCGCTACGATCAAAGCTTCAGTCGGGGAAAGTCACGGCTTCGATCGGAGGTCAGAGTGTCGGCCGACGATTGTATAAGTTTTGGAATATTAGATAGACTGCGAGAGTGAGTACGAGAGTCGAGACAACGTTATGCACTTTATTGTAGGTGTTTAGGGTTATTTAGTGGATTTGATCTTGTTTGGCTAAGAAATGAAACAATAAAATGGGTAATTGGGCCAAAAATTAAAAAATTAGAAATGAAACAAATTATTGGGCCAAAAATTTGGATTTAGAAATCATTAATTTGTTAATTTATTTAGAAAAAATTAAAATTAAAATAATTTAATTTACTCAATATAAAAGAAAATTAGAAAGATTCGGTTCTTATTCGGTTCTTCGTCTAGAACCGAGAACCGAACCGTACCCATCGGTTCTCAATTCAGATACCCGTTCGGGTATTTAATTTGACAAGAACCGTCGGGTTCGGATCGGTTCGGTTCGGGTTCGGTTCGGTCGGTTCGGTTCGGGAGATTTGCCCAGCCCTACTCTATCCTAGTGATAATGAACAGTCTTGAAAACGGGCCCTGCTGATTCGGCTGGGAAGAGAAATTGCTCAAAAACCTGTCCAGTTATATATAGTCTGAAAACAGTTCTTAAAAATGGTG